TTTTTTTTTTCTTCTCTTTTCATTTAATTAAAACAAAAACAATGACCTAAGTAAACAATGAATTTTACAAATACAAGGATGAAAAACTGTACAGAAGAATGAGAACACTTGGAGAAAGCAGCATAAAAATGGTGTTTTGGAATGATTGATTACCAACTCCCACGGCATTGGGCAGCTGGGAACTAAAAATTGACATATCATCCCAAAACTTTCGACATTTGATAATGTGGATTGCTATATAATCCCTACTGCTCTTCCAAAACCCATGTAAAATGAAGTGTTTCGTCACCTGAACCACTTGGTCTCGAATATTGAAGGTCTGTGCTTCAACCATTGCACCATGTCTCTGTCCAGTGGAGATTTATGCAAGACAGCATCTAGCATTGGACTGCCAAAAACATTTAGAGAGTTTTGGAATGACCATATTCGATCCTTGGGCCACGGTTTCTGAGATTGCTTTTCCTGCAGATAAGAACACCATTGACGATTAAAAAAATAAAAAATGATTGTCATTAAAAATCATTAAGCAATAAGCACAATTTAGGTTAGCTGAAACAGAAAAAGAGGCAGCATTTCAAGAAAAGGGCTAGGCTACTTTCGATAAAATTTAAGCTCAACCTAATTTTTATTGGTCTCTTCAAATGTGCTTATGTTTTAGATAACCAACTTAATATTTGATAAAATGGAGGATGGTGGCAGATCACAAACAACCAAATTCTGAGCGTCACCATTTCATCAGATTAGAATAAAGGCCCACCACTTCTAGAATAGAGTGGGTACGAAGATTGAGATGACTACCTGATAAGGTTTTATGTAAATTAGCTCATGTTTGCAACTACTAGCCCAAACCTCTAAAATCCCACAAAGTCCAAGAGATGCAAACGAATTCAATAGTGTATTCTTAAGAATGCTCAATGTTTGTCACGAAATTAACCATAGGCAAAAATCATGAAAGAAAATCCAGAGATCCTATTGGTTTTTCATATGCACAGAGAACAGGACTTGTGCTGAGAAAGGTTCAGGTTAGGGTACAAATTTATAAGTTTTATGACAATTAAAGACTAATAATCTACTATACTTAGATACAAGGGAAACTTGATTGAATCTTGGAAAACAAAAATATATATTTTTTATAATAAAGTAAAAAACAAATAAATGAAAAGATGATTCCAAAAAAACATGCATATAAATTGTGTTCGGGCTAGGAGTTCCTGCCATGAAGACAGACAAACATGCGCATTGAAATTTAGAGAACTGAGAAAGGTACTTGCATCAACACAATGGGAGAAAAAACACTTACCATCCTTGACAGCATGAATCTCAAGGTCTTTGGACTGTAAACAAGATGTCTTGATGGTTTCTGACCCTTGGCATAGAAGGAACCAACCTCAGGTAAGGACAAGCAACCTCTACTTGCTCTAATCAGGCTATTGTCTGGGTCAATACTTGTCTGGTTATACCAAAAAATCAGCTGCCCTAGACAATAATTCTCACCATATGTCTTGCAATACTCTTGAGGACCAGTCAACTTATCAGCATACTTGGGGCCAAGGTCAAGTGGACTGATGTACACTGGTGGAGAAGTTAGTGCTTTGTATGCCTGTACATAAAAAGAAGGTTGTTTTCATTAAAACTACAAACTTAAATCAATTGTAAATAACAAATAATGTCTTAAAGAACTCAAGAGTAACAACACTCACACAAACTCTGAAGAAGCACTTTGTGTAAGCATAAATATGGATCAAGTCAGCTGCAGCTTCATGCCGACACTTGTATGTACATGGAAGATTCCTGATCTCATCCCTTAACCTACAAAAGGAGTTATGACCAAATATTATATATATTTAGCAGAATAATATAAAATAACAAGTAGTAATCAGTTTTAAGCACTGCATTATTCCACTCACCATAACAAAGACTTCTGAAGTTCTCTCTGAATGTCACTAGAACCTGAGGGGTCATGAGCATGAATCTTTGATTTGAGATCATTTAGCCTGTCTTCTTCAACATGAGGAGCCATGGATTGAAGAAGCTCCTCAACTAGTGATCCCTCTCCTTTCCAGAGGAAGGACACTACTTCTTCTGGAGTAAGCCTCTCTACTGGTGGTGGAGCCTTTTTGGGGTCATCAAACACGCATCTCATTACATACCTCACCTGTAAATGGCATTTAAAGATAAACTTCAACAACAGGAAGTTGTTTCATGTTTCATCTTATTAAAGAGATCTAGATTCCCCAAATCATTAGAGCAAAAAAGAAACATAGGCTAATCTACTGTTTCCAAATGCTTTAACCCATAAAGCTAGTTAGGTTATTTCTTACCAATCCACCAGGGCTAATTGTCTTTTACACAGCAAAATAAGCTTAAAAAATCATTATTATTTGATGTAGAAGATGTCAATCACCTTATCAAGAGTAACTGCAAGATTCTGAAGCCTCTGGTTATAGACACCCTCAGCCTGTCTCATCCCAAAACAAAATAAATGCAAGATGAGTGTCAAGAAATAACTGCAAGCATAACTAACCTAAAAAATATGGAACTTGTCACTTGCATCCTGAATAAGGCATACACACCTACAGGATACCAACAAAAAGAAAGCAGTAAACACCCACCTGAACCTCAGCATCACTCTTCTCAAACTCAAGATTTATATCAGAAAAATATTTCCTTTTCTCTTCTAAATTATGCCTTAAAATTTCCTCCGGGAGTTTTGTCCTTTCAAAATTTATGAACCTCACCTTCATCAGAAAAGTTGTTGTCAGGAAAAAATGAATCAAAACTTCAATTAACCACATAGATAAAAAAGAATAAACACCAACAATAAAAGGAAAATAAACCCCAGACATCCCACAAGAAACACCAGAGACATACCAGACGAGCTGAATATGCAACCAACCAATCTGGCAACCCACCCAGCAGACAACTTCCTAAACCAGCCCTCCCTAAGTCAAGATAATCTTCTTCAGACACAGAATTTAATTCACAAGCTTCAAGCATTAATTGTTGTCGATCAAGCACTCCATGGCACTCCTTCAAGACCTGATGAACCAAACACTCATAAGGTAAATTTCAAATTCAAAGTGGAAAAAGGTAATAATTCAAATGAGTGCTGCAGCCAACAACAAATGAAATCTCTGGAGGGTTTCAGCCAACCATTGTAGGCAAGGTCCTAAATGTTGATATCCAGAGAGATTTCTCTCAAGTGTATACCTTTAGGTATGCCCCAGTGAGGTTCAAGTAACTGCCCCTGCAAACTTGACTACCACACAAACAGACAGATGCTTCATATTCTTCTTTACTCTGTTTCAACAGGTAAAAATCAATCACTTACAAAAAATATGCACAACTTGCTTTAAAGATAGCAAAGCTGACAAGCAAGTAAAACACATACCTCTGTAAGAGAGTTATAATCAAACGTGATCTCCTCACCATATTGAATTTCATGCACTGTATAGATTCCAATCTGGTACTGGCCATCCACAGCAGTAACCCTGTGTTCAAGAAATGGTTTATCATCGTTACATCAAGATAAGCAAATGGAGATATTATAAATAAAAAAGACAAAATAACAGTAAGAAATTAAAATAATTGGCTGAGAACTGAAACAAATTTAGATTAGAATGTCCTAAAAATGTGAAAAATTATCTCAAGAAAATAGGGAAAAAAACATTGGAAATTGTAATTGTGTCAACATTCACTAAAGACCCTATAAATATACAAAGGAAAAAAGAGAATTAAAAACAAAAATAGCAAATAGTTAAGAACAGTCCCAATTCAAACTCATTACTTGTTTCCTATTCCTTTCCCCAGAGTTTGAGGCAATTCATTTCAAATAGCCACTCAAGACAATACATTCTCCTTTAACTTTAGCAGGATCCATCCTTAACTGTCCATAATAAATGGTTATTTGATATAATCTTTTATTTCAAAACTTAACAGAATCCAGGATAGCATTACTAGATATACGCTGCATCTGTTAGTTAAGACTTGTTCCTTCTACAGAGATTAAATTCCTTACAGCAGGTGATGAACATGATATTCATAAATGTTTTCTTTAGGTGAACACATTTAAAAATAGTTGGATTAAATTCAACTTTGTTGCCAACATTTGATGGACTAAATTCTTTAGGTATTGATGGATTAAATTCATTTAAATTCAACTTTAACTTTCATTTTAAATTTAAAATAGTTGGATTAGATTCATGAATTTAAAAGGACATTTGAAACTCAATTATGGACATGATCATTGGTTCCTTTGAACTATTTAGTCCATATTAAAAAATTCCAAATCATAAGACACTCATTATGTGTAACTTTTGACAATATTAAAATAAACTAAACAGAACTGAATTAAGTTCTTCACAACCTTCTAATAAACCAGAAAATACTTACTTGGCTTCACAATTAGGACGGCAAGAATGACATATTCGACTTGCATAGTTTGCCTTATGCATGGCATCAACAACAACCAAATCAAACCCATCAGCATCACCCTGACAAATGAGACATGGTCAGGCAAACATGTCAAGAGGAGCAAGTTATACCCCCACAAAAAACAAGAAAAAATAAAAATAAAGAAAAATAAAAAAATAATCCATGGAATAGAAGTTGTTCCAGTAGACACCTTTGGCCTCTCAAGGTTAATGTTGTAAAACTCTGGAGCAGGATCCTGGTTGTTCTTCTGCAGCAACCGAATCCCATCTTGCTTCTCATACCACCTCCAAACAGGATAAACCTGAAAAGAAATAAAAAAAAATAAAGTAGCAAATAAGACATCTAAAGGACTTTATTCAGAAGACAAGTGTGAAACTGTTGGCACTAAAGAAGGCCATGAGTCTTCAGATCTAAACAGTGCTGGCAAATTAAAAGAGTTTACAATTATTAGGAAAAAAAAAAAAGCATGAACTGCTGACAAGCTAATTTATTTGCATACCTCTCCCAGAAACTCCACAACAAAATCATCTCGTCCAAAACCACCCTCTTTATTGCAAACAACACCAAGACCCTGACATATCACAAGAAAATGGGGTAGCAAATAAGTTCAGATTGCACAATAAGTAGTAGAGGTGATGAATAGAAATATTATGAAGCCCTTGAATACCTTCCTGTAAGCAACATAATTGTCATCAGGACGACTCTCCATTGCTTTTAGAATACCTTGACACATTCTCATGGTCCGTATATCACAATCCTCTTCAGCCACTCTTCTAATTTCCTCAATAACAGGCTGCAAATGATACTTCATAGGAGTAGTACCAGTGCCGGTGAAGTGCCTAACTTGCTTATTTAGAGTACGAAGGAGCACATCTTCTACAAACAAATGCTTCTCTAGCAAAGACCACTCCAACTCCTCGGGCATGGAGTCAAGAAAAAGGTTATGAGTATAGGGATCAATACCATAAACTTCTTGTTCTATGACCTCATCTCCCAGAAGTTTCCTTGGTTTATAATCCTTTACTTCAGGAAGTTCCAAATCAAACTCCTCAGTGCCAGTTTTCTGAGCACTAAGTTTCTCAGCATAATCCTCAGGTAAGGACACTCGCATCTTCCGCTGCACATCCTCCTCATCTGCTACAATAACATACTCCTCGATTACTTCATATTTCCTGGTAACAGGAGGAACCAAACTAGATTTTGTCATGCGAGCCCCCCATTCACGATCATCAGTAATAGAATCAAACCCATCATCCACAGTGAAGTATCCATCTCCTCTTGACTCCCCAGATCTACCTTCTGAACTGAAGTCCAAGTCACTCTCTGTCTCTGAGTCTGTACTCTCACTCTCACTTTTGCCATCTTCAGAAGACTGGCCAAGGTCATCAGATGTTTCACTTTCTGAGTTTAGAGATCTCCTATTCAATTTGGACAAACGCTTTCTTATCTCTCTATCAGATGCATATTCCCCATATTCAAAACCACCATTTGCAAAGGAGGTGCCATTATTCCTGTTCATGTACTTCCTTTCAGTAACAGCTTTACCAAGCTTCTTCTTATAGTTAGAGAACGAAGTTGAGTCATCTTTCCAAGACTTCATCAACTCATCTCTTTCATAAGACGAAGTAACTTTCGCACACTGTTCCAAACGTGTGGCAAGTTCGATAAATAGTGTAATGATAAGATTCATGTTCCCAGTACCACTCCGCTTCTTTGCTCTACATTCACGCACATTAAAAGAGAGAAAAAGAATAATCCTGTCAACTGATATCTGATGAATATATTGAAATAGCATGAACATTATAGACAAGCATCCTAAAATAATGTGGGGCTGGTTAAGACAACTAGGTCATTTATCACATTGTTAGCAAAACTGTATGCTTTTCCAATGATTTTTGAGTCCTGATTATTCAATTAAAATTTTCCAATCCAATGTTTCAAATGCAGTTCAAATAAGACAAACAGAAAGCTTACTTTATGGCATCTCTACACATTCGGCTAATGTCATCTTTAACAGAATTTAGTCCATGACTAATGTAATAACCATTTTTCATTCTTTCCTCAATTGCTGCAACCTGATCAGCAAAAAAGACAGTCATGAATAAGAAGCTATACAGTATATGAAGAAAAACAGATTGATGTAGTATAGACCCAAGGAAATCATCCTACATGCAAATTGTAGCAAAATATGTCCATCATATCTATAATATGGAGACACAAAAAATCAATAGTACCTTTGGCACAAAAAAGTCAAAGGTATTCTCCTTCATGATCTCCCTTAGACTTGATGCAAAGAATCCTTCCAATCGCTTAAATCCATTTTCAGATTTCTTTATTGCCCATCGCCTCATACGAGCATCCCTGGATAAAATAGATGAGGAGCGTCTGGCATCAAATAGTTTTGAACGTTTGTACAAGCTTCGACGGAATAATTGGTTTGCTGAGTCTCTTCTACCCACACTTTCAAAATAATGCTTCAATTCACCAAAATCATCCATACTGCCACCCAGACCTTTTCTAAAGACAGATGAAGTTGTCTCACTAATGTGTTTCAAACTCCTTATTTTAGAACTTGACTCCTCTGAGTTCTTCATACCATTAGAGCTCTTGCTCTTGAACCAGTTCAAATTTGGAAGTTTGAGGATCAATCCCCCAAACTGGCAACAACCTCTAATATCTATTGAAGACAAACTAGGAAACAACTGAATAATCTCTTCAAGCTTGTCAGCAGTTATATTTGTGCAACCAATGAGAACCAGTGAATTAATCTTTTCCTTGTTATAACCATTCTGCAAGTAAAGAATTATATTAAACCTTGAGTGGAAAGAATTATATCCATTTAGACTAAACAAACATCAAACATACCATAATGTTCCAGATGATGGGGTCAGTGCAGTTAGGACCCATAGCAGATAAATCAACCTGTCTTGAGATGCCCTTATAATACCTAACAGCAGCTCTCCAGCGTTTACAAGTTAACGAAGCAAAAGCAAGGGATTTCAGGTCTGATCTCATGAAATGAAAGACTCGTGCCAGCAGATGACCTTCCAACAAACCGCAGTTCCCCATCCCAATTCCAGAACATGAACTATGTTCTTCATCATATGTAGCATCACCAAACAATTCTTCAAATGTAGTATCATCCTTTTGAGTTGACAACAGCTCTTCTTCCATTTCATTGTCTTCTTCACTTCCATCAATCATCGCCCGTGCTCTTTTGCCAGCACGTAAATCTTCTGTAGTCATCCATACACATCAAACATAAAAATTAAGAAATAAATTAACTCAGATTTACCAAATTTAAGAAAATATGATATAAACCCATATGTGCTTGCACCCAATATCACCAAAATTCCTGAAACACCTCAACTCTTTTCACTTAAGCAAGACATGCACACAATTACAGAGGGAAATTTGAATTGAATTCAATCAAGGAAAGCCAGATTAGCATGCTATATGGCCAAAAAAGGAGGAGAGAACACTAGCCTAACAATAGTATGTTCACTTACACAGTGTTGAAGGTACATTCATAGAAGGGGGAAATAGGTGAGGTAAATGCCCATATTAACACTTAGAATGTTTAGTACATCACACATCTAAAATATGGCATGTCATCCAAAACAAGCTAAATATGGCATGTCATCCAAAACAAGCTATATATGGCATGCCATCCAAAACAAGCTTGCATAAGAAAGAAGAGGACTCACAAGACAAAATAACGTGGCTGTTGATTGGTTAATTAAATTAAATTTATTATAAGTGAAACAAAAGAGAATGAAAAGATAGGGGCTCTGAAATATATATCAAAAGAGATGCTACCCGTGAAAGTAGGGTAAATGGTCCTAATATCTCAACTCCTGACCTGAAATTTGAAGTGCTCTTTTGACGATTCAACCTGGGTGCTTAATGCTTATATAGAAATACAGAAGCAATAGACAAATAGTGATACCTGATTTTCTGTAAATGTGGTTTTCCATCTCCTTCTTTGGCTGTTTTGCACTTATCCATGGATCTAAAACCTCATTTATGGCTGCAGCAAATTCCCGACCCTTATATGATCTCATTACCAATTCATGTAGCTTCCCACGGGTATAACCAATAAATTGTGGATGAAGGTTGTGAAATGAACAGGACTTTGCATTGCTTCGACTAAAAGTAGCAGAATGAGATTCAGAAACATGCAGTTCTGAAGAGTCCACAATCTCCTTCTGGCTCTTCACAGCAGTTACAGAATTCTCTGCAGCAGACATAACTGGAACCCAAACTTTATCAAATTTCCTGAAAATGCTGCTATTTTTTTGGATAGCACCTTGATCCACCATCGCCTGTAGTTCAGAAAATGATAAAGGCCCTTGTTCATGCCCAGCACCATCAAGGTAGTACCATTCACCTAAGTGCAACTGCAAGTCATCAACTCTACAAACATGGTCCTTGGGAGTCTTAATAGATGCAATGCCATTCCAAGAAGTCCGCAAGTCTCGGTCACTAACACTTTTCAATAGCGAATCACTTTCAACAGATGATCTGTTAGTATCACTAGCTGTAGAATGCGACCGACTAGATCTTGAAGAGTACCTCTCCTTAGTTCGAATTTTTGTTCTGGGCTCAGATACTAATGAACCATGGTCCTGAACCACACACGCATTAATCCTGACAACAGAACGCATGGTCCCCTTCATTCCTCTTACAACAGCAGGCTTAATTTGACCTAATCTGCTTATGCTGTTGCCATCACTTCGGTCATCTGTGGTGGAAAAGGCCCAAGGAGGGAGGTCAAGCTTTCTGCTGTGAGAAGGATAGTACAGATCATCCTTCCTAAGCCAGCGAGGATCCTCATACCCAGACTTTGGCATCTGGCATAAAGGGAAACCATCATTAAGAACAAGTTTTTTCCTGGAAGGTCTATCCTGGGAAGCCTCATCGTTCCTCATCCAATCCCCACCCTTGCATGACCATCGGCCAGAAAACCAATCACTAGAGTCAGAATTGGTAAGACTGTCAGAGGTTGAATCAAACCTGAATTCCACACCTTCCTTCAACTTCATGTCAGAATCATCGAAATGATCATGAGTAGGATCCAGAAGTCCATTGAAACCTGAAATATCCAGAAGAAATCTGTCATGAGCTGCATGCCTAAAGGCCTATAGAAAACCAAACAATGCAATTATGCATTTTGGAATTTCAAATTGCATTTTAATTTAGAAACTCAGTCCAGTTAGCCATAACCTCACTAGACTGCATGCCATATCCCAAAGGGACTCAAGCCAGCTAACAAATCAGATAAACTTAAAACAAACAGCAAATGTAATGAAAATGCAACATTTATTACTTGTTCAACTAAGAAACAGAACAAATTTGTGGTATGAAAGTTCCCCTTTCCTATTAAAAAGAATTGACCCTATTCCCTATAGGGCAATCTGAACCAGAAAATGAATTCCGATTCCTGGGAACTGCATGACAACATCAACAATTCTACATGACAACTAAATAACAAAAACTCCCAATTTCTTTTAATAATGATGAGGAAAATTAAGAACTAATTTCTGTAAATGATTATAATGGGGGAAAAAAAAGGCCAGCCAAATTGCCTAAGACGTTAGAGATTTCCAAATAACAGAGGAGGGCATGAGTTGCTAGACACTGATAAAAAATAATAATAATAATAAAAAATAAATAATAGATAATATTATAATAATAAAAATAATAATTTAAAGGGTCAGGTTAGAGTATAATAAATACACCTTTTCATCATAAATTTGTATTGTAAAAACAAAAGTTGACCTTTAATTTATCAATTACACAATTATATTCATTCACTTGGCACCAACACTAAAATTAATGCCAACTTTGGCATTTTTCTAAATACATTTATGACAAAAAGGTGTGTTTATTACACCCTCAACCTATGGCTTAGGGCACAGATTAGAAAAACTCTAATTTAAAAAATAAAAAATAAA